TGAGAGATTAATCAATAATGCAAGGATTGTTCTTTGCAGCCCTATGGGAAATATCAGGGGAATAAAGGATGACACATAGGTAAAAAGTTGTGCGACTTGTTCGCACTTGTCTGCACAGTCTGTTCTCAAAAAACAAATCACCTTTTCCCAATAATTAGCACTAATGAGCGAGTACTAAAATGTTACTGTGTTACGGCCACAGCAGGAGAAAAGGTAATTCATTACGTTTAGCTCTTATTCTCAGTTGTAAAACGTTGCTGTGTCATTAGAGACAGTTATCATTTACACAGCATAACCCCAACCACCACTGCCACCTTCTACCATCTCCCAGCTGGCTAATAACAGTTCCCAGACAGTACATTACTCCAGGAGACGGCTGCTGCTGATAGTGGTTATGGTGATATGGTAACAATGGCAGCTCCCCCTGGTGTCATCCCCTTAGCTCCCCTGATGCATGGCCGTCGTGGCTGTGCTGCAGATTGAAGTGAAATGATTGGGTATAAAGCTGTGAAAAGGGGGCAGTGGTGATGGGGCCTCAGTGTCCATTGAAGTGAAAGAGTAATCTATCTGAGGGTGTGATAGCACTGACCATCATTTACGTGGCTTGAAAAGGTCAGCGGAGTGACCGAAATGTGGGAGCGCTCAGGACGGCCATTATAGTCATTCCGCTTCACTGTGCGAGCTGCCGCCGCCTGATTGATGCCTGAGAGAGGATTTGGCGCTGCTGTGGTGTGTATTATAGACAGCATGCACTTTAATATATTTCCTGTGTGTGTCTGTGGGTAGATATTTGTCTGTCCTCTGGCCCATGAAAGGTTTTTACAATCCCTCTTCAGGGAATCGTGAATGTCTACACTAAATTTTATCCAGAAATGTGTGATATTTTAGTCAGTACCAAAGTAATGGACTGACTTAACAACCAGACCTGTATGTTTTTTTCATTGTAGCTCTTTTTTTTTTTCTGACCATTTTCGAATAGAGGTTATGCAGTTTTAGTTTTATTGATGTATTTTTTTAACCCTTCCAGACAACCATTGGTTTCCATTCATTTCTAAAGGGTGTTAAAAATCACAACTGTCACAACTAATCAAAAGGTTAACATTACATATGTGTAATTTGTACATTGTCATTGTGTGGTGATAAAGTTTAAGAGCAGACTCATTGTAAATGTCAGCATTGCATTATTTCATGACAATAATGTAACTTAAACAAAAATTGCAGAGAACTTTATGATCACCAATTGAAACTAATTTTCAAGAATTTATACCATACCATTCAGATCATTTTGTGAAAAAAGGATACCAGGTGCCTGATGAAAGCTGCTCTCATTTTGGTTTTTGGTTCCTTAATTTGAATATTAGTTGTTCAACCTTCACAGTTATGGTGTTGATGTCCCATAGTTCTTCATTCTGTACACTGTGAACTTGAGGTTCAGGTGTAGATTCTCACTCAGTTGGTATCTGAATGCTCAGCTGTCCAAACCCTCTGAAAGACATATTGGTTTACTCATTCACTGCGTTCAACAAACCTGTTTACTTCCTTATTTTACTGTTTTTCTCTTGTTTGAAACTTCACATATCTTAAAAATGAGTCTGTCCTCTTTATTTGAAGAAGAGCAACATCGCTACCAAGCAGAGATCAGTTACTGTTAATGGGTTACGGTGCACTCTTCATATTTATGATACACTGTATAATTTGGTGCTTCTGTGTTAAATTTTAACTGTTTTGTTTGATGTAAAGTGAGTCTACTATCAGCTATAATGTCTTCCAGTTGAGACTAACTACAGTAATGTTGACAGGCCTGGACCACAGCGAGGGTCTTCTGTCTCACATGGAAGAAAAGCTCCTGGAAGAGCTGGACAAAGAAGAGCAGCAGGAAGTTCACGTTGGAGGGCCTTCAGGTGTTTGTCTCAGTCATCCGTCCAGGAGCAGAGTAGGAGGTTCGAACCTTCCTTCCATCTCTGCAGAGCCTGCTGCTTAGACTCTTTGGTGGCATTCAGATCACCTACACTACTTAACAATAAGCTACATCAACACAACAGTATGTGGAGT